ATTTTTACCACATGAACAAACATCCTGCTTTTTAGAAAATCTTGGGACAAGATCTCACTGTTTAGTACTGGTTGGCCTGGAAATTGCTATGTAGACTAGACTGGCCTCAAACTCACAGAAATCCCCTTGCTTCTGCCTCCTGAATACTGGAATGTTCTACGATGTCTGGTTCATTCTACTTCTTTTAAAATCTTTTTATTTATGCATATTTGTGTTCCTGCTTGTGAGCATATATGTCACATGTCTGACAAGTGCCTGCAGAGGCAAGAAAAGGGCAGAAAAACCCCCTGGTACTGGACTTACAGATAGTGTTGAGCTGACAAAACCAAACCCAGGTCCTCTGCAAGAGCAGCAAATGCTTTTGATTGCTGAACCATCTCTGGCCCTTCATTCCCCTTTTAAAGTTTTTATGTTTATTTTTTTATTTTTCTTATTAGTTACATTTTGTTAACTCTGTATCCCAGCTGTATCCCGCTCCCTCATTCCCTCCCAATCCCACACTCCCTCCCTGGTCTCCTCCCTGCCCTTTCCAAGCCCACTGATAGGGGAGGACCTCCTCCCCTTTCATCTGACCCTGTTTAATCAGGTATCTTCAGGACTGGCTGCAAAGTCCTCCTCTGTGGCCTAGCAGGACTGCTCCTCCCTTGGGGGGTGGGGAGGTCAAAGAGCCAGCCATTGAGTTCCTGTCAGAGATCGTTCCTGTTCCCCTTACTATGGGAAACCAATTGTTTACTGAACTACCACGGGCTACATCTGAGCAGAGGTTCTAGGTTATATCCATACATGGTCCTTGGTGGAGAGTCAGTCTCAGAAAAGACCCCTGTGCAGATATATTTGGTCCTTGTGGAGCTCCTATCCTTTCCACATCATATTAACTCCCCCTTCTTTCTTATGATTCCCTGTACTCTGCTGAAGGTTTGGTTATGAGTCTTAGTTTGCAACATGTATTTAGTGCTCATTCACAGCAATAATTGTGTTTCTGGGCTCAGCAGATCTCTTGAAGATGGCAGCTATTTAGCTTATGAAATAGTCCTGTACATGATATGGTTTATAAAATGTAAAATTAGAGGAACAGATAATGCTATAGTACCAGGGATCTGATGCTGTCTTCTGACCTCCACAGGCACCAGGTATATACATGGTGTATAGAGAAAACAAAACAAATATGATAACTGTGAAAAAGGAACACTTTAGACAAAAATAAACTTAACACCATTTATTTGAGCAAAGGACAACTGCAGAATGGGATCTTGCTCGGACCCAGCATGATTGCCATAAAAATGCAGACAGTAGCATGAATGTACTCTAGTTGAAAGTGCTGTGCTTCACATTGCAGCATCAGAGATCTGAAATCTCTTCTGGGCTCCACCATTGTATTACCTGGGCCTGGCCTTCTCAGCAACCTCATTTGTAAAAGCTCAGTGGATTGGATGGTGTTTAATGGACCTTGTGTCTTTCACACTCTCAGCCTGAAATTATGCAGAATTTATAAGGAAGTAGTTGGGAAATGGCTGTGTTCAGGAGAGTGCCCTTTCTTTGTCCCTTGACAGGGAAAAACAGACCATATTTGTTTCCTGACACCATAAAGCAACTTATATTAGAAAGAACTAAAAGCAATTACATTTAAACATCAAGGTAAATGTGTGCATGATATTAACACACTTTTCTTTGCTCAGAAAGAGTTCTATTTTAGTCTGTCACTTCCAATATTATACCAGCATGTTTCAGCCCATCTAGGCTAAGTAACTACAACAGTTTGGAATGTACTAATGGCTCTTACATAGTGACTGCAAATGCCCTAGGCAAAATCCATTGAGGCCTTGGTGCTGAGACTGCTGGGTCATAGGTTCGCTTAAAATCTCACATGTTTGGTAGTGGACACATGTCACAGATGGCTCAGAATAGAGTCAGTCATTTTTGAATATATAGGAGAAAGGACAATTATGGCTCAGAAGCTTAGAAGCTCTTCTCTGTGCCACATGGAAGGCCAATGGCTTGAGGTGTGAAGCCAGTTCACCATTGTTGCTTTTGTAAGGGTGTTCTCCATGAAAACATAATCAGTGACTCTCTCTTTTCCCTACTGAGCACTGGGGTCACAGAGCTTTAGTTATCCAAATCTGAAGTAACATGCTTCGTGTATGAACTAGTACTCTCCTTGAATGTAAAACTGACACTCTCCTTTAGTCAATGATAACAGAACTGATTTCTCTAGTTTGTTCATGAAGTTTAAATTTTAGGAAATTTTTTCTTTTTTCTCTTTTTAAATTAATTATTATTATTTATTACAATTTATTCACTCTGCATCCCCACTGTGGAACTCTCCCTTGTCTCCTCCCAATCCCACCCTCTCTCCCTCATCTCTTCCCATGCCCCTCTCCAAGTCCATTGATAGGGGAGGTCCTCCTCCCCTTCCATCTGACCCTAGCCTATCAGGTCTCATCAGGACTGGCTGCATTGTCTTCCTCTGTAGCCTGGCAAGGCTGTAACCCCCAGGGGGAGGTAATCAGAGAGCCTGACATTGAGTTCATGACAGAGACAGCCCCTGTTCCCCTTTCTAGGGAACTGACTTGGAGACTGAGTCTACACCTGAGCAGGGGTTTTAGGTCTTCTTCATGCAAAGTCCTTGGTTGGGGTATCAGTCTCTGCCGGGAGCCCAGGGCCTAGTTTTTTGTTTGTTTGTTTGTTTTTTTGTTTTTTTGTTTTTTTTGGATGTGTTGGTCTCCTTTTAGAGCTTCCTTCATAAAATTCCATGCCCTCTGCCCAAAGTTTGGCTGTGTGTTGCAGCTTCTGCTTTGATACCTTGATCAGTGCAGTATTTCAAAAGCATTCTGTTGTAGGCTCCTGCCCTGTAGGAACATTTTTTTTTAAATGCCAATATGGTCCCCTTTCAAGATGCTCAGTGCAAGACTAATTGTTGTTCTGGAGCAAACATGAATTCCAACTCAATTAACATTACAAAAATTGTGTATTTGTATTTATGTGTATGTGCCTGCTTGTCCATTTGTGCGTCACATATGTTCAATGCCCATGGAGGTCAGATGGGACTATCAAATCTCCTGGAGTTGAAGTTACAAATGGTTGTGAGCCTCTTGCTATAGCCCTAGTAATTGAACCCGGGTCATTTGTAAGAAGCAAGTGCTACAGCAAATGCTCTTTACCACTGGGCCATCTGTCTAGCCTCCAGATAACATTTACTGAGCAGCTACTATGTCATAGTGTAGTAGGCACTGAGGGTAATTTACATACATTTTTGTAAAATTTTCCAAATGCAAACATACTTTAAAATTTAATCAGCTTTTTCAGTGATGCTACACAGGGTAACCTCTCCTTGAATATTTGTTGAATGAAGGCATGAACAACAACAACAACAAAAACAAAAAACCCCTATACATTCTTAATATCTCAAAGGCCTTTGAACAGTGTCTCCTCAAAATTTTTCATTATACAAATGGAGGTATTAATTGCTCAAAGGGTATGTGATTTATCCAAGGCCATACCCACAGTTAATTAGACCTGTCTGTAGATTCAGGACATTGCTCTCTTCTGATGTAGTGCAAAACCCTCATGAGGTTTGGGAGAATTAGAGCGCAAAGTCAGTGTAAGATCTCATCAGACACATTCTTTTCAGGGTTTTGCTGATTGTGTTCTTTGAGATTCTCTTCTAAGTAATTTAACAGGAAACACTTGGAGATCTGGACATATGTTTATCGATACTTATTTCAAGACAAAAGAGTCAGGAAGTAGTGGAACTTTAGTAAAATCAGCAGTAATGAATTCCAGTTTTGTGTTGTGGGGGCAGGTGGCAGTACTGAAAGGTTCAAATCACGCTTTTGTCAGTTGTTTCATTTAGGCATCATTGAGTGTGGGGTGACTGACTCAATACCAAACAGGTTTGTACAAACATTCAGATAAGTATTAAAATGCCAGCTCATTAATTCACAACTGAAAAAAAAAACATGTCACATGGTCAGCGCCCCTCTAAAAACTCAATATAACAGGATTAATTACAATAATAGAATTGATGGGTGAGCAGCAAACCAGAAATGGGCCATTTTGTTGGCCATTTGCAATGACTCGCGTCCTCAAGCCTGACACTCACATTGGTTGTCTTGTTTGCAACTTGCTGATTGGCACTGGAGAATGCTCAAGAGATACACAGCTAGTTCTAGGTTAAAAACTGACTGAAACAGTTTTAAGAGTAATTTTGCAAATGTTTTTTTTTTCAACTCCTTGTTCAGTAATTTCATGTTAATAGCTTGAAATCTATCAAGGTAAGGGTATTTACACCATAAAAATAAGCAGTTGTTACAAATAAGGTTTTGAGGTGTTTTTAAGAGACCTTCTTGTTTAAATATTTACAAATATGCTACTGTGCACAGTATAATTATGTGACTAAATTCATCATCATTTACTCTCTCTTTTCTTTGAATTGGGGTTTCTTTGTGTAGCCCTGGCTGTCCTGGACTCACTATGTAGACCAGGCTGTTCTCAAACTCACAGAGATCTGCCTGCCTCTGCCTCCCAAGTGCTGCGATTAAAGGTATGCACCACTGTGCCTGGCTCATCATTTACTTTCTATTAGCATTTTTTTTTTCAGGAAGAGATAATGCATTTTGATCAATGTAATTTTTCTTATACTTGCAATGACATGTGAGTTTGTCTTCTTGGAACCATCCCTAGTCAGGCCTCCATGATCACTGATTTCACATTCTTAGGAAACTATACAGGATGGTGCATTAAATGGACCATACCCTTATGATCATAGGCACCTAACTTCATTTCTGTGTTATTCAAAGTAAGTTTGAGACCAAATTGAAAGCCAGTCTGGGTTTGGCATGTAATGTACAGCCTCAAAATAGCAGATAGATCTCTTTTTCTTTCAATAGTAATAAAGAAATAGAGGATGGGAATAAGGGAGGGAAACAGTGATTTGAGGTTTTGGAATTGAAAAAGATGCAGGATTCAGAAAAAAACAAAACAAAACAAAACAGGAGAAGTAATGCTTTTGATGAGTTTTAATATATCAGCTGCTTCTGTGTGCTTCAGGCCTTAAGTGGTCTAAAGATTCTGGGTAGAAAACAAAGAAATTTGAGAGAGGGGAGGAAAAGCTGAAACAAGGATTTCTGCTAAGGAGGGAGAAATGGGTAAGTGTCTACACTTGAGGACTACGGTGCCTGATGGGCAACATGAAAAGCTTCATTTTCTAATTTTGACAAGGGCTGAACTTATGGAAATGGTAAATCTCTTCCTAAACGATTTGTTTAGTTATTATATTTGTTAACCTAGTTGATTTAGTCTAATATAGATCCTAGATGGCTCCTACCCCACACAGAGAACAATCAGTATTTATAGAACTTATGTATTCACACCTAACAAGAAGTTGAAGAAAGGATTAGTTAGTAAAGGGCCTGGTCCATTTTCAATCCCAGGGAACTGCCTTCGGAAATAGGTTTTTCATTAAGTTAGCTTTGTTTTTTCCTTAATCCAGTTGACGTACCGGGAAACCTTAGTATATATTCCATATTTGCCTTTTATTGCACACTCTTCACCCCAGCTGATAATGCCAGTTAAGAAACTTGTCCCTTCCACTTCAGTAACATGGGGGCCCCCACTATCTCCTTCACATGAATCTTTGCCTCCCTCACGGTAACCAGCACAGAACATGTTGTTATAGATGGAGACTGTTGTGGACCTAAGGCATGTGGCTCGGTCAACCAGTGGAACTCTAAGGTACTGAAGAATGGTAGCCTGTCTCCCTCTGTTGAAGACTTTTCCCCAGCCACTCACGTAGCCGGAACCAAACTTGAGGAAGATATTTGTATATTCTCTATTGGCAACACAGATAGGTGTTACATAGCTGTTCAGTATCAAAGGTTTATCCAGTTCCAGCAAGGCAATGTCATGGCTGTACTTATTAATAGTTGCATTGTAGTGGTGATGAGGGATAATTTGAATCACATTTCGCCTTTGCTCTGTGTCTTCCTCTTTTTCAATGTTATATTCACCTGTTGAAAACAAACCTTATAGTTTATAGTCTTTCCCATAAATGCATTTCCCAAGATTTACAGTTTGCTTGGCTCACTGATCACTAGCAACCAATTCTCAATGATCTAATATAGTGGGTGGGAAAATGACACAACAGTAAATAATTGTAGTATGCTGACAGTGTTTTATGGGTTCCCAAAAAGAATTAAGGGGTTTGGAAGGTAGAATAAGTTAGGATGTGAAATTATGGCCCCTCTATGATTAGCCCAGTTTACTCAGTAAGAATCCTATTGGATCTTTGGACAATATGATATGTCCATCATACACTAATGTTGCCAACTGTTATCTATTTGTTTTTTATTTTTTTACTCACCAGCAACCACTTCAATTTTATCACCAGGTTTAAGACAGTGGGCAGCAGTTACAACCCATTTTTCATTAATGATGGCACCTCCACAGAATGCTTCAATTTCACCATTTAAAATGACCTGTGGAAATAAAATTAAGAATCTAACTGCCAATGGTATTTGATCCAGAGAAAAAATGAATACATATGGTGTTTGCAGGAGTGGGAAAAGTTGGCTTCTAGGTTTTTGGCAGAAATGGAAGATTTCTGGAAAGTGTCAGTTCTGCAGATGAATTAGCGTTTCTGGAGCACAAACGAAACTTGTTTCTGTAATGATCTTGAAGTTAATGCCAAATGAGAGATAGTGTGGTAGAGGTGGTGCTCCAGATGAGGTGAATCTGAGGAGTGGCTTTGTGTGTGTGTGTGTGTGTGTGTTTGTGTGTGTGTGTTTGTGTGTGTTATGTGGGGTCTTTGAGTCCCTTTATCATGTTATGTAGAGAGTCTGCTGGCACAAGTTATTCAAGCAGTTATAGTGTATATGGGAGGAAATACTGACTAACTGTCGAGGATAAAGACTTACTACTGAGTTTCTTGCCTTGTATGAGGACATCTCTTTGCTACAGCTCACTTAGAAGAGAAAGCTGTGTCATGCCACGTCCAAATTAGAATTATAAGAAATGAGACCTAAGGAATTTATGGGGGCTGTGTTTCTTAGTCACTTATGTGCTGATCAACAGCATGGCTCACACATTCATTCCATCTCCCCTAACCATAGCTAGCTTCCTCTGGCTAGAAATGTAGGGTGTCCTTGCTCTAAAAAGTCTGCTTTGCTGTACTTGATTTTTAGACAATGTGGACAAAGTATCTGTAGTGAGGCATTAAACATGGACGTTATGGGTAAGAGAATAATCAATTCTATCTTGTCCAGTCCATATTCACATTATAATCAAAGAGGACAATCACCGTTTTTACCAAATCAATGTCTAACTCAGAGGATTTTAGTTCCAACCTAAAGGTCTTGATTCACATTCTCAGAGACAAAACTGAGAAATGTGGACACTAGAGGGCGCACTCAGCATTCAGTAAAGTCTGCAGGAGCCCACTAGTCTTTGGCAACTGATGCTCTTTGCCTAAGTTTTAAGTTGCTCTTTTCTTAAACCTGTTCCTAAACAAAACAAAGGGCTCCTTTCAATGTGAGACAGATAAGGTCCTTCCGAAGGTAGTTCTGGGTCTGAATTCAATTTACTGTGTCCTGGACACTGAAGCAGTAGCTTTGTACATAGAGTCCTGAAGGGCTCACCCAATTGTTACGGGTCTCTTGCCTTCTTTCCCACAATCAGGCTCTCTGACTCTTTTTAGCTGTTATTCTATGTTCCAAATGTAAAAATACAGAAAAAAATATAATGATATAACTAACACCAGCATTTCTACAACCTAGATTTAACAGACTTCCTAATCTTTCTTGTGTGATTATTTGGGGCTAAAAATTCTATTCTACTTTTCATACACATTTGGTACTCAAAGCACAGTACATGTATGGAATATTACTCTATCCATTCACAGATGAGAAAAATAAGGTTTAAAGATACATACCCACTCCTAGTACTGAGATGGCATAGTGAGTTAAAGTGCTTGCTACCAAGCCTTGATGACCCTAGTCTATCCCTGGGACCCGTATGGTAGACAGAGCAAACTGATTCCTGCAAGTAGTTCTCTGACCTCCACATCTGTGCTGTGACATATGTGTACCTGGCTCCTGTATTTCTGTACCTGAGAATTCAGAATCTCATAGAGGTGGTCTGAGAACCAATTGTGGTAGAATGATCTGGGTTTCTTATAAAGACATAGAGACTTAATGAGAAATATTTTGTGGGTAGGGCTAGAGAAAATATAATGCTAGAATGTTCTTACAGTTCTCACAATTATGTATGAGAACTGTTACATGGCTAGTGAATCCAAATTCTCATGGCTGGGTAATCTTTATCTTTTAAAAATGCTCATTCAGTGAAGTATCCCAGAAGGAGAAAGACAAACATGGTATATACTTGCTTATATAGACCTACAAGATATGATAAACATAATGAAGTCTATACACCTAAAGAAGATAAACAAGAAAGCAGACACGAGGTAAGATGATCAATCCTCACTTAGACAGACAAATGAGATGTGCATTGGACGTATGACAGGAATCTACCTCAAAAGGCATCTGAAAGACCCTACCAAGCAGCATTTCAAAACAGATACTAATACTCATAACCAAACCTTCGGCAGAAGGGAGTTAGTATGACAGGGAAAAGATAGGAGCCCCACAAGGACCAAATATATCTGGGCACAGGGGTCTTTCCTGAGACTGACACTCCACCAAGGACCATGTATGGATATAACCTAGAACCTTTGCTCGGACGAAGCTCGTGGTAGCTCAATAACCAATTGGTTTTTCATAGTAAGGGGAACAGAGACTATCTCTGACAGGAACTCAATGGCAGGCTCTTTGACCTCCCCACCCCCCAAGGTAGGAGCAGTCCTGCTAGGCCACAGAGGAGGACTTAGGAGCCAGCCCTGAAGATACCTGATAAAACAGGGCTAGACGATAGGGGAGGAGGTCCTCCTCAATCTGTGGACTTGGAAAGGGGCAGGGAGAAGCTGAGGGAGGAAGGGTGGGATTGGGAGGGAATAAGGGAGCGGGATACAGAGTTAATAAAATGTAACTAATAATAATAAACGATAAAAAATGTAAAAAAAATGCTCACTCAGGTTGGAAACATACTTTATAGGGTCAACGGGAACAAATAAAATATAAAGCCTTTTGTTCTAATCCTGGATATAGGTGCTGTTGAAGATACTAAAATAGAAAACATTCCTTTTTCTTCTAGGGTAGCTTTCACAGCTAATTATTTAAAACCTATTTAGTGCTATACTACATTGGGCAAGAGGATGTTTGCTGTCTGACTGCAAGCCTTCACAGGAGTGCAGGGACTGTAGTTTGCAGGTTAGCACACATAGTCTTGATACCTCATTGCTAGCTCCAGATTATCCTCATACTCTTTGCACCATCCCTAACAGAGGAGGCTACATCACTCTTCCGTTGATGGACTATCACAGCCATCAAGGGATAAAGTTGATTATAAAATAAATGCACTTTCATATCAGGATGTGTATGGGACCTGGAATCGTCTACTCACTCTCTAATTGTAGTGGAGGAGCAATATTCTGAGTTTGTCCACAAATGATTTAGAGTATGTACATTTGACCCCAACCTTTCCTCTGCCAGTGCCAATCCTGGAGGAAGGGAGGGCAACAATGGCATTTGTGTTGGAGTAATGAGAAGACGTTTGCCTGAGTACCATGGATTGGGGAATGGCAGTGATCACTGGGTAAGTGTGGGGGAGAGGTAGGTACTCCAAGTTGCTATAGGTAAGCAACTGGGAGGTTGTAAAAGATGTGACTACAGTAATACAAGGTTCAATGTCCTCAGCACGTATTCTACTGTCTATTGTCTCATTAGACTTCAGTTATAGAATACAAATACAAAATACTTAAACTTTGATATAAGACTCTGCTCAATATACAGCACTGTATCAGTGTACTCGTTAAAAATATGAGATGGCTGACCCTGATTCCAAGTGATTTTCACCAGCAAGTGAATTTGGGCAACATGGTTCTGTGCTGGTCCTGAATATTATAATCCAATTAATCTGTCTCTGGAAGTAGAAATAACATGCCACAGTGGAATATTGTTTCTCTTTTAGGTATTGCTATGGAATTATTGAGCAGCTCCCAGCTTAGTGGGTTAGTTAGGTCAACCTGAACGGTAGCCACAGCCCAAGGGCACAAAGACTGCAATGTATTCTATATGACTCTGCCAAAGATGTGCTGCCTGGAGCATCTACTGCTCTCCAGTAGATGACTGAGAAATATGCTTGTGTCTTTTAAGCCTGAAGAGCATTCTTTGCCAATCCTTAATTGGTGTTAGAAATTTCAGCAAACACCTTCGCCAAGAAAAAAGGACTAAGATATATTTGCAATTAAAAGATTACAAATGTGTCATTTTGGAATGTTTGCTTGGCTATCTCAGTATTGCAGCTATCTAAATATTAGCTACTTGGAAGATGAACTGTCTGCTTGGCCAAGAATGAGTTCTTATAAGACTTGAAAGAATGATGGAGAAAATAAGAAAGCATATATTCTGAGCAAGATATCAGAGTTCTGATCTGTCAAATACTTTCATAGTCAGAGTCTAGTAGGAGCTTGTTTCTATCCAACACCACCATCTCAGACACACCTATGTACACTGACAAAATTGTATTTATGCTCTTCATGGCAATGGCTGACCACCGCAATAACGGTTGTCTCATTGCTCTTTCTTTAGCCTTTAACTCCAGCCTAGCCTTTTCCTCTAAGTTGACTAAAATCCCTATTCTCCTAACACCATCAATTCCAGCTTTCTAACACCACCGTTTGTTCCACATTTTCTATTATACAAAGTAAGGCAAATGGTGCACTCATTGCTGACCCACAGATGTTGCTTGCCAAATTCTTGGCAGTAAGCTATTTTGTTGAGCACAGAAGGGAGTCACTGTGGCTTTTAATAGGTAATTATAACCACTAAATAAAGTGGCCATTGATATGTACTTTATCAAACAATACTGCAGGTTAATAGTCCAACTGTTCTTTCCAAACTAGCTTTGTAGATCTAGGTGAGATTACATGTGCCATTTTCTTTCTTCTCCTAATTGGAATTTTATCATCTAAGCTAGGAATACTACAAGGGTGTCTTTTTCAAGTAAGGCATTTCTTATTTTGTTTTTGAGACATAGTTTTATTATATAGCCCCTGCTAGCCTGTAAGTCACTCTGTAGACCTGGCTGGCATTAAACTCACAGATATCTACCTGCTTCTGCCTCCTGAATGCTGGAATTAAAGGTGCACACTACCACACATAGATAAGTAAAACATTTCTGTAGAATTACTATACTCATATAAAAGAAAACATCTCTAACACATTCATATTTTAAGTTTGCTGTCTATCCTGAGGTTGAAACCTAGTTAAAGGAGGAGATATGTGTGGATAGAAGCAAAAGCAAAAGGCTCTGGTAACTTCAATGATAGCTTGGGGGACTGAGTTGGGAATGGGAAAATGAG